TATATATATATATATATATATATATATATATATATATATATATTTATTTATTTATTTATTGTAATAAAGTCATATTTATTTATTTATTTATTGTAATAAAGTCAAATTACATCATAACGGATTTTCAAAAACCAACCTTCAAAACTTATTCTTTAAGATAACAAAATGGAACAATTTTGTTTTCGTTTCTACTTTGAAAATATTAATCTTTTCATCAAGTCTCTTAAAATTTAATAACTTTAATTTGGTCTTTTCAAAAAAAAAATTGATTGTATTTAATATAATTTATTCTGAGAGTACATTATTACACGTGACTTGCTTAAAAAAATTTGAATATGATCTCTTATATGCTTCATCTATATTGAATCTCTAGTTTTTTATTTTCATAAAATTCGTAGTTAACAATTTTTAACTCGAGGTTCATTAACCACCCCATCATGTAAGAGATAATTTTATCTACTAAATGTCGATATTCGTCTTTATATTTAATTTCCATGTCACTTAAATTAATCAAGATAAATCTTCATCAACAAAAAATGAAATGATAGACCTTCACCCATAACTTTATAATATTAATAAACTTGTTTGTATCTAGTTTAAGGGAGTGGTGGGGGAAACACCAAATGAAATCATGATGGATAAGAAACTAAGGGCTATTTAGAATTATGGTGCTTTGTGGTCCTATTTTCTCAATTCACCAACTCCATTCATTTTTAACTCTTAATTCAAACGTTATATTTTGTTCCCAAGAAATAGGATAAGTTAAAATATTGTTTTTGGTGTGTATTTCGTCAAGGTCAACCAGATCCACAAGTTCTATTTTTGTTGGGTTAAGACCTTTTTTGAATCAAATCAAATATGACTTCCAAGTTATATTCTAGTTATTGATAATATGTCATCAAAATCAATTGTGGGTTGAAAACTCGTAAAAAATTGAACATTTGTTATATCAACTAGGATAAAAATTATTGTTATAATAAATAGGAATCAAGACAACCTTCAATAAATCTAGATGCATTTTTCCCTAAGCATAAAACAAAGATGAGTTTGAGTCTTTTGCATATATCATATTAAAGTTGTGCACACACAGTCCGAAAAAGTTTAATGTAATCAAACTCTAATCCATGTGGTTTGGAAAAAAGCTTCAACTTATCTGGATTTAGTAAGGTATGTTAGAAAGAAAAAAAAAAGGTAATAGAAGAAAAAATAGTGTCGCAAATCAATGATTAGGCCGGGAATGATCATTGTCCTAAGTCAAATTCTCCTTGGCTTATTTAATTTCAATTTCTTAATTACCTTACAACGTGTTTTAGAGTTTATAAATTAAAAAAGAATTTATCACTCTTTCTATATGGGACAAATGGTATGCCTAAAAATTCATATCAATTAGCTCACAATCTAAGACAGACTCCACTATTCTAGCCATGTGGGACAAAACCTCACTATGCAGATTATATATACAATAAGGTATGGTTGAATCTGGACTAGCGGTTTGGCCAGGTTAAGGATCACTCATGTACAAAAAACCCGATCTTGGTGCAATCCAATTCAAAAGTCTAGTCTAGTTCATTTTTGTAAAGAAAAAAACTCAATGAATTTACACGTTCAAAAAAACCTGGTCTTGGTGCAATCCAATTCAAAAGAGTCTAGTCTAGTTCATTTTTTAAAAGAAAAAAAATTCAATCAATTTATAAGAAAACAAATTAGTCTTTATCCGGTCCTCTTCATTATCTAGTAAAATATATGCTTGTTTTTATCCGGTAAAAAACCAGTCATATCCGGTCCGACCTAAAATTATTTGGTTTGATAAAGGACCATGCAATCTAGACTAGTGACATTATGATCCAATTTTTACATGGTCTATTCTATTACATCTGATCCAAATATCCATCTCTATATCACACAAATAGGCACACGAGCCCAGACTCGAACAAAAATACACACACACACACACACACAGAGGGTCGGTCCTGAGGTATTTGGTGCCTTGGACGAAAACGGTTAGAAGTGCTCCTCAAATTAAAAAAAGCTACTAACTTTTTGTTGTTTGTAACAATGTTAAAATGATGTTATCGAGCAACAAATACATTTACAATGTGCATTTCGCTAGGGATAACATTGAAACTTTTTTCCAATGGCTTCTAATTCTTAGAACTTCATGCAAGTAAGGTAATAGTCTTTATTATCAAGAAACCATTCGAAATAAATCAAAAATAACCTACATTTAGCGTACAGTAAAACCTGACACGTGATCCTACTAAAGCAAATAACATTCTATATTCAATGTTAATTTAACTTGGTTTTGTTAATTATATATCAATTTCTGGTTTTTTTAGTTTAAAAATAAATCAGTTCACCTTATGTTAATTTTATAAATGTTCAAACCAATTCATCTAGAAAGAAACTATATAAATTAATATAATTTGCTATTCGGTTAACCGATATGGGAAATAAACGAAATTGAAAGTTAACTTATTTGGTTAACCGAACCGGTTAACCCGCAAACCGAATAGCCCATCGTTTTGATTAGAGTGAGTTATTCGGTTTTGGATTTTCTTATACCAAAAGGCTCCCAGTCACCTAATAAATTTCTGATTTTAGCTTGATTCCTAATCTAAAGTTGTGATCATAATGAATGAACTTTATCATCTTTCATATATATATTTCAATGATAATCAATGAATTATATGATAATTGTCCATAAATATTTCTATTGTTTCCTAATATAATGGTTTGTTAGAATTAGATGGTTCGTAAATGAACGGACATATACACACATATTTGAGAAGTGATAAGTATTTGAGAAGTATAGAAGTGATCATAGTCTTTTATCTGGTCAAGATTTCCGACTCTGAATGTGAAGCACCTGATAATTCCTCGTATGGTATGCGAAAGATAGATGACTAGTTTCATAAATAAAAATATTTGATGTAATAAAATAAGTGAAAAAAAGTTGTGAAATAAGTAAAAATGAGGACACAAATAGCGTAATGGTAAGCTTGTTTGTAGTTATAGTAGAGATCTCGTGTAAAAATCTTGGTGTGCATCAATTTTCTTAAATAATAACAGCTCCCTAATAAATTGATGTCCCTTGGGCTTGTGTTGCTGTGGCTGCCGCACAGCACTAAGGCTGACCGTAACACACGAAGGGATGTTCAAATACTATGAGAACATGAGAAAAGATTTGGTACATCCATCTAATTTAATCCATAAAGGGAAGTAAGGGAGAAGCATTTAATTATATAGGCTTTAGGGGTAAAAACATATTTATCGACAATTTATTTTGATGATTAAAGATGTTATCCAAGATAAGTGAAGAAGTTGATTGTAAGTGTCAAATTTTAACTTCATAAAGGCATCAAAGTCATATGACAAGTTATAATCGTAATTTTCTTATAAATAATATAGATTTAACCCACTTTTCTTAAAACTTATATACTATTTTAAATATAATTAATTTTAATTTAAACAAATTTTATAAATAAAACAAGCATATTTTAAGTCCATATCTACACTAGAACATAATCTATGAATGTATAAATTACAACCATATATTTATTTATATAACTTTTTTTTTCTAATTATACATTTAAATTAAAAGACCCAAATCCTTTTTTTTTTGTCTTGCTTATATTTTTATTTGAAATTCCTTTGTGATTATATTCTTCTTGTTGCATATCTCATTTGTACACGGTCACCTAACTATCTAATAAAACCCTAAAATGCCTAATAGTAAATCATAGTCGTTAACACAATTAGTTACAAACGCGCCTTTTTTTAAAGTATATAATATTTATATACGGCAAATGCAACAAATAAACTCACACCCCCTCCTCACCTATAGTGAGGTTTGAACCTCTGACCTTCTAAAAGGTCAAGAGCTACGATACCGCTAGGTCAAAGGCTCTTTAGTTACAAATGCGCCTTTATACCCATTTTGAAAAAGGTGACGGCCAAGATAATGGTTTGATATTTTGGTAACAATCGTACAAATCATATTTCATAGTTTATGTATGAAAGAAAGAGATAAGATAAGACTTAACATACAATACCACTCTTATTCTTTATCTCTTTCAATTACAACTAACTGTTTTAATTATCAAAATTAAAGATGTATGATGTGATATTAATTTGAAATTATACGGAAACAGAAGAGAAGGGAAGCATGTTCCAATGATCCATTAAGCAGTTGTTGCATTTATATTGAAAACAATATTCAATGTGTAACAGAAACTAAGCAAACAACCATGAGAGATTAAGTCCAAATCCAACAACCGGAACCAAATCTATTTAACCTCATAATAACAATATAACAAACCACAAGGGTGGTACCTAATTGGTTTGAGCTTGACTCGAAAGATCAAAAGTACCAGGAGGTCCCAAGTTCAAATTCAAGGAGAAATAAAAATCCCTTTGTAGCCACGGAGGTTCAAATACGGTGGCTCCGGACTATCTGCAAAGCAAGTGGTCGTCCTGGGATTAGTCGGCTTGCATAACGGGTTGGATATACAGGTTAATAAAAAAAACAATAAGATTGGTTATCCATGTCAAATATTTTCTTAAAATACATTTTAGTAGCATAATTAAATCAAATCCCCACAATCCCATAACAAAAACAAGAAATTCACACAAACATCATATCTCCTCCCTTCATTTTACAAGGTTAAATAAAGAGAAAACAGGAGATTTTGGGGATGGGGAGCAAAACTTGTGGCATATGAGTAACATCACATTGCCACAAATGACCATAAAAGAGTAAAAAGGTACTAATTATGATATATATATATATATATATATATATAATCCAACAGATGAAACATAACGGTTGACAGGAGTTTTGCAGGCACGTGCAACGGATTAGAGGTCTATGATGGTGCAGATGGTTCTGGTTTAACCAGAGAATTGGTGTCGGGTTGGTGGGTAGGGTAGATTAGTGAAGCAAGTGATATCGGCATGATGCATAGAGCTTTCGACTGGAGGAATTGCATGGCGGCTCCAACATCTTCTTCCATGAGCTTTGCAACTTCACGTTCTGTGTCATCGTTTGACCAATTTTCCCAAGCGGGTTGATTGTATCCATTTTCACTGGCATCCCCCTATTCATCAATGAATATACTAGCATTTAAGATACTATACAAAAAAGAATGACCATTTTCAATAGAGATGGTACAAAAAAGTGCAAGCCCGGCTAGAACAGAACGAAAAAACCAGGCCTGAAAAAGCCAAATCCAGCCGTCTTTCAACAAGCCCGAAAAAAACCTAGGTATTTTTTGCCTGGTGAAAATGGATACAAGGTGAAGAGATAAATCCATTAAAAATGGGGGTTGTGGGTTACCTCAACGGATTGCAATGGGACATCGGATACAAGTTGTGCGACTGCCCCAGCTCCACCCAGCCTACTCATGCTAAGAACCTGCTAAGTCAGTCAGTGAAGCTAGTAGAAACTACAAAATGTTGGCATAGGAACAGATACACATGGAATCTAAGATTAAACCATGATGAATGCACATTAGATGTGATTTTAATGAGCATGAGAATATCCAGTCCTTGAGAAGAAAGGAACAGGAAGGTTCCAACACATATGGAACATGCCCCACAAACACAAATTGTCCCAGGCGAATATGTAATTACTCAAGAATGAAAGGTTTCAACATACATTGTGAACAAAATGGTCCCAGTCTAAGCCAATACGAAGAAAATATTATCTAACAGTGTATTGGAAATTAATATGGATAAATATTTGGTATGAGATATATTTACCTTGACCTGAAGCCGTAGGAACTTGACATAATCCAAAATTTCATCAAGCATAGCAGCCTTATCCGTCTGCACACGAAAACATCCAATCCATTAACTATACAATCATAGAAACAATGAGAAATGATTGCAAGTTTCCAACTCTCGATCAACTAGAAAGTCTTTATAATTCAAGAATATACAAAGGATATCTATATCGTCCATTTGCTGACCTTGTTGCAGCTGGGAACAAGTTCCTGCAAAGCCCTCATTCTTTCCGCAATTCTTTCTCGGCGTAGCTGAAAAATATATGTAAAGCTACTAAGTGATGGTGAAACATCTAACTATTTTTTCATGTTGCTAGTTTGAATAGCTTATCTTACCCGTTCAGCTATGCTATGGGGATCTGTGGCTTGTCCTCGTCGAGCTCGTACCCTAGGGCGAATTGTAGGTGGATGCGGCACAGTTACAGCTGTACTGGTAGTTGGTTGCCCTTGAAAAGCCTGCTAGGGAAAATGGTAAACTTAATCTAGTTCAGTTTGGTAAAAACTAGCTCATAAACTATATGACGATGTAAAATGACCTAAAAAAGAAAACATACAAGGGGCATAATTTGAAAAAAGTGAAAAAGCCCCAATAAGCTATCTGAAGTAGCTTTTCAAAAAGCTAATGCATGACTTACCAAATGGGGATTTTTTTCAATAAGCTAACTTATGGTTGCCAAACATGTCCTAAAAAGAACAAAACACTAACAAGTAAAAAAACAATACAAATGCAATTTCATGTAAAGGTCACTTTTGAAGTGGCATGTAACGCCCAAAGGCCTATAGGCTATAGTGCTATACATGCCTACAACTATTTCACTCAGGTATCAAACCTGGTTCATGCAACTATGTAAGTCACTGAAGATCTCGTCATTGGTGATGCTGATTGGGGAGACAAAGTTGCAGATGATATACATTTTTTGTCAGCCTATGACCACCAACATCAACACATATGACCAAGGGTTCAAACCTCACCAAACGTGAGGAGGGGTGTGTTGAGTTTATTTGTTTTATTTGCCGTATATAAATATTATATACTTCAAAAAAAAAACATCAACACATATGCATGGAGAACAAATAGAACATGAACCAAGTAATATGGGTAGAAAGGATTAACACACGCTTGCAGAGTCAACTTTGGATAACCAAACCAAACCAAACCAAACCCACCTAGTGGTGAAGTCTAGGGAGGGTAAGACGTATACAAACCCTGACCTTTACCTCTAAGAGTAGAAATGGTTGTTTCCATTAAGACTCTCTCAGCTTGTGAAAAGTGTTGAAAGAAAGAAAAGTAGGTAAGATTAAATTTTGAAAAGTTGGACATAAGTAAGCAATAACAATACAAATAAACGCAAGTACAGAATAAACCTAAAAGCTAACTACCTTTTCTATGCGAGCTACTTTCTAACGTTTTACCTTTGTCTCCTCCCCTAAGAAGTCAATAAACTTAACCCTACCTTTGACGGATATAAAGTCTTGGCCATTAAATAGCCCCAATCGAATTACAGACTTGGTTCCATTTAAATAGGGCCATGCCACTAATGATAAGCTATTGGCATGGTAGCATATATCGATATGAACATAAATGACCATCAACATACATCGGTAGTCTTTGGATATTGGAAGTGGACTCCTTACTAGTTAACCATTCGATCTTTTGCTTAAAAGAGTGTACTCGTTAAACCAAACCAAACCAAACAAACCCAGTATACCTGCTCGAATGCAGAGTGTATGCAGCCCTGACCTCTACCTTCTGAGGGTAGGTTTCCTTCAAGACCTCCAGCTTGTGCAAAAGTGTGACCGAAAGTAAAAGACCATGGGAAGAAGAAAGAGAATGTACTCATTGTTACACATATCAACGACCTACATTGTCCTAATCACAAAAACAAAACAAAACTAGATGCATACTACCCTTTGCTATATCTTGAATCAAATCCCCACATATCAATGACCTACATATACAATCATGGCAACCAATCGACCCTTAAACCGGAAAAACCACAATTGATTTTGAATTTCAAGAGCAAGAACGTAAAACCCATTCCTCCAAATGTTCCACTTTCAACTTGAAACCAAGATACCAACTTGTAAATTACGAAAGAGGGGACATCCAATCTCCAATGCTTCACTACCGGATAAAACCAAACCAAACAAGCCTGTTATATCCCATCAGTGCCCCAAAAGAAAAGAGTATAGCTGCTATTTTCGCAAAGACCAAAAATACATGGAGCATGTGCACCGATGGCCTCAAACACATCATTTTAGCAATTGTTATAATAAAATATATTCAAATTCAGAAGCAAGAGACGATGCCAGAAACACAAAATCAGTATTATGAACCTGGGGAACAGTATGTAGCAGCGAGTGTGACTGCAAATTTTCAAATGGAGGAAACAAACCACCCATGTTCATGTTCCCTCCTCTCTCCTGCACATCGACAAATGTAAATTACATATATAGCCCTTCAATTTCTCAACAAGTCACAATCACCCCCTCCAAGTTTAACAACTCCAAAATGCTGCTATTACTATTCCAATAGTCAGAGCACGAAAACTGAAATCCGCAGTTACCACGAACAAAAAAAGGATCAACTTATTTAGGGTAAAAAGAACTTACACGCTGCTGCTGCTGCTGCTGCCCCCCTGTAAACGCTCCGATGGTTTCACGGCCGTTATCTAAGCTCAAACCTAACGGAAACACAGACTGCTGCTGTTGTTGATGATGAACAGATACCGTTTCAGAAGCAGCAGCATCGGAAGTATTACCAGTAGGCAAGCATCCGGCGATGTTGTAAGAAGGAATCGCGAGAATTTGCTCAAGGAAATCGTCTCCGTAACCCTCCGGCGGGTCAGTGGCCATGCCGGAGACAGGAGAAATCGTAATCTGAGGTGGGTTTGGGCGTGTCTGAGAGAAGGGAGAGGAAGCGAGGAGGACTGAGGAGGTTGGAAAAGGGCGAAGAAGAAGAGAGAGGAGTTTCAAAGGATGATGATTAACAGAGTGGCGGTCAATGTAATTAAAGAGAAAACCAAGGGTAATTTTGAAAGTGGAAAACAGCATGCGTGGTATTGGAAAACACGCAGCCATGACAACATCATTTTCTATCAACACATCAGCCGTTTTTTTCATGCTCTCTTTCCGCATGGGGCCCAAACCTTTTATAGCAAGTGTAAATAACAAATTTGGTCTGTATCGTTTATTTCACTGGATTTCGATAAATAAAAATAGTTAGGTTGTTTATCAAATGTATATTCAAGTAATCACTTATCAAGTAATATTATTTTATCGGATAAATATAATAAGTATTAAGAATCTTACCCGGTAAAAACGAGACAAAGTTCAATAGTCTTACCCGGTAAATGATGACGACGATTCTTATCACGATAAGCACTTACCCGGTAAATTGTTGTATACTATGTCGTTTTGGTGGACTAAAATCTTACCCGGTAAGTGCATAGTAGTATTAAATTTTACCGGTAAGCACTTACCGGATAAATGTTTGATAAACGGCCCCTTAGAGTAGAAATACTAGCAAAAATCTTTATCCATGAATATGCATTAGAATGACATCCACCAAGAGAAGGTGCATCGGATCAATCCCCGTATTAAGCGTGATTCATGTGTAAGTTTGAGATTAAAGATGATGAAGAGTCCAAATCTCTTTTTACGTTTCTCACCTTAACTCTCTTTTGCTATGGTTATATAAAAATTTGGATCGAATCCTCCATGGAATGACCTATAGTGGTGCATATGGTGGCACGTGCCACCATATTATTCCTTTGTCGAAGGATGAAAAAATTTAAGTTCGTAAAAGATGCAACTGCATTAATTTGTTGTGTGTCACTGTATGTATTTTGAAACTATATGAGAACATGTTTTATTTGGTAGAGTTGATTTGCAAGACTTTTTTTTACCTTAGACCTAAGTTCGAATCCTGTTAGTGTCATTTTCTTAATCAAATGGTGTCATCATTTGAAAAAAAATTATATTTGTTTCTTATAGTCATATGGTGTCACTGTTTGATAAAATTGATTTCTTAAATTGGGTTTGATAAAATTGTTGTAGTAGTTGGAGTTTTCGTTGAATTTCATGGGTCAAGATTTGGGTGTAATCCCCTTCTTCTCTCTTCCGCCATTGATCCACCTCTTTATTTGAAAATCTAACCCCCTCCTCTTTGTTGAAACTCGATATAAACCTCCGTCCAAACCAAGACAAATACACATATGGTTTCGTTATATTCTCGATCTGGATTTGGTTTCATCTCATCCTCGATTTGGATCAAGTTTCATTCCATTCTCCAAACCCGATGAAATATCAATCTTTATATGTTTTGTTATCTGGTTTTGCGGAATTGGAGATGGTAATGTTGTTTACTGGTTTCGTCTGATTCTCTCTCAACTCCCGAGATGTGGAGTTGAATGGGGACGGTGGGGAAGTGATGGAGAGAGGGAGACCGTAGAAGGGGGATGATGATGTGGTAGTGAAGTGAGGGAAAGAGGGAGATTGTGATGTGGTCGGACTTGGGAGGGAGTTATAACAGAGAAGATGACGTAAGGTTGGCAAGCGCATGAAGCTGCTATTAGGGCTACCGGAGAAGAAACCGTGTGTTTGTAGTTATGTATATAATATTAACTAGTTGTGTATCCGTTGCAATGCAGTCAGATGCAAAATAAATAAATTGAAGGTCTATAATAATATATTCTCCTCAAATTTATACAACTCAACTCATTTAAAAAGGCTAAGAGTTATGGTTGTTTTTTTGGCAAGTTTTTAAAAGGTATTGTTAATGCATACGTCTAAAATAATGTTATTTAAGACATAACATATAAAACAAATTATTTTTAATAATAAAACATGTAGGGGCAACATTTGAATCAACAAGTTTTTTTTAGAAACAAGAACTATTGCATACCGTCTAAACTAATATTATTAAGTCATTTACTCATGTGTAACGTTGCATATTGAGAACTCAAAACAAAAATCTTGTTTCATCTTTAAATATTGTGTTATTCTTGATGCTAATTTTATAGTTTTTTGTGATTTCAATTGCAAATATGATGATATATGAAGTCAAGGTCGATAAAATCAATTGGACGGAGATTTTGAAGTGGAATCGCTTTGACAGTTGGGTTTTCAAACCCATAATTTGTATTATAACCAAAACTTGTACACACTTTGCTATATGAAGATTTGATGCTTATTACTTTAAATTTAGAAAATAGCATTTAAGAGACAAACAAACACTTTTAAATCAATGAAATATGTTAAAATGTGGTGCATATTATACAATTACTAAACTCGTTATATATGTTTGATAATACCTTGTATGCCTCTTTGGTGATCTATCTAGTAGTAGTTTACTTTCATATTATTCCTTCTATCCTCTTCAAAAAAGTAGTGTCGTGGATTAAAGCTGGAATAATTTATTGTTCTTGAAGCAATGTGATATATTAGTGGCATCAAAGTTGACGCAATAACAAACTTTCTGGAAAACATCAAATCTCTTACACAACACCATCATATCTCACAATCTATACTACACATATAAGCACAAATAGAAATTACATGTTGAAATTTAAGAGGTCAAAAAGCATAATAGAAGTTACCTGCCAGAAACGTTATATGCTTCAACAACATACAAGAAAATGGTGATATACCGAAAATAGTAGTTACCGCAATATAACATGTTTGCTTGAACAACACTATTTCCTGGATACTTCTCTCATCTGGTCTATTCTATATAAAAAAAACAAAGGATGAGATCATTAACCAGTGATTTTGTGAAGAAAAAAAGGTCATGGAAAGATCATTAAGCCATAAAAAAAATCATCGACATAGAATTACAACAAGACTTTTAATACAAGTAGTTAGGAGGTCTTAGAGTTATTGATTGTTGTTGGGTTTAGCAACCATTGAGAATTTGAGTAGAAAACTATTCGCTACATAAATGGGTGATCTTTAATCACTGTTTGCAATGAATACCATGGTGGAAGTTCTTTCAAGAACTATCAACAATATATATGATTTTTAGAGGTTACTTAAAAAGAGGTACAAGTATATATGTTCTTTGTTGAATATAAGCAGCAATGTTGTTGCTCAATTTAATACTTGGTTTGATGTTTGATAATAGTTTCTTGTAAACACATTCAAAAGATTACATTATTTGATAAATTGAAATCGATGTACACTGTTAAGATGAAAACCTTGAATCACTTGAGATTTCATGGAAGTCTGGTCATATAAGACAAGACAATTCGTATCTGTTGAGACTGCTGCATGTTGGTAAAGCAAAAGTTTACATGACAAGAATGTGATAATGGTGAAGAGTTGATGATTTTTTTTCATGGCATTATTTTTAATCAAAAAAAGCAAACAATATACATATATATATATACACACACACACACATATATATATATATATATATATATATGTGTGTGTGTGTATACATACATATGTGGGCAGATTCAAATAAGAATACAGTCAATTTACAGAAAGATGAGAAGAAATATAGGCCAAACAAATTAGTTAGCTTCTCGCATGATTAAGAATACAACCCCAATAGTACACATATATTAAAACAACATAATCACAGGTGACATCATTAATCAACAATTCTGATAGGAAAAAAAGGTCGAAAAAAGATCATTATACCATAAAATTTAGCGACATAGAATTATGACAAAAAATAATAAATAACATATGGGGCATGCACGAGTCCGTTGTGTAATAAAATGAAGGTACAATAACCAACTACATAGAGCAAGATTAGGATATTACTTTAGCACTTGGAGCAATAATTAAACAACCAGCTACTTTCATAGCTGATTAGCAACAACAAAAGAACCAAAGCCATGATTTATTTAAGTTATTGACAGCTTAAATATACCATATAACAGCACAAACACCCTATAAATTAAATTAAAAAAAAACATGTATGTGTTTAAATAGATGGCAGTTTAATCTATTTTTCATTTGTCTTCTACACTACAATATCGCTCCAAAAATTTCAAGCTTGGCAACATTACTTGCAATTGAGCCCTTTGCAATGCCATTCAAGTACACCATTAGAGTTTTCCTATAAGATGTGTTATCATAAGAAAGAAGAACATTAGCAAGTGATCATGTACAAGAATAAACATGTCAAAAGAAGTACCAACGCCATACCTAAATCAAACCTTTCGAGTAGAAGGTATAAATCACTTAGTCCCAATTATAATAAAACCTCTATAAACAAGTAAAAATACAAGAGAATGAGATTTGGCCACATCTAGACCATTAGAACACTACCATATATAAAAGAAAACCAGTAACATGAATCTTGCTACCCCATAAATGTTTCTTCGTGAGAAGATGCATCATGAGAAAAAAATAAGAAAGCTAAAAGAAAATAGCCTATGAAGTGAATTGATAAGTTGTACCTTTGGAGTCCTTCAATTGTCATCCATCTTCAAAAAACCTTCATGCCAACATGTTTCATGTAAAAAGAAAGATTTATATAGGCATAGCAACTGAAGAAATATCTCACTGGGCAATAAAGCAATAGATAAGGAGATCAAAAAGAAATTCGGAGAAGCAAGAATTGATACAAGTAGTAAATAAAAATATCAAATCTTGTAGATTGAAACTTGGGAAACTAATAAACCCAGACTAAACCCTGCAAGATATGCTCAGAAGAATGTCCACAAATTCCCCATGCTTTTGAACAACCTTATAAAATGGATTGTGTTTGTATAAACATACAAACAATAAGTAAACATTTGATCGAAGATATTTTCTTGGTATTGAATCTGAATGCATACAACAAATAGTACTTGAAAGTTGAAGGTGATCCCAAATACTTCGCTAGTTTTAGTTTTCCCAAGAAAACTAAGACCATCATAGATCGAATCAAAGGTGCAAATTTGATCAAGAAACAAAGCATGATCTTGTTGCCCTTCAATGAATTCTTCTATGTCT